CCGGCCTCTGCCCTGCCTGCCCCGCCCCAGGCCCCCTCATGGTGATCGTGGAGTTCTGCAAATACGGCAACCTCTCCAACTTCTTGCGCGCCAAGCGGGAGGCCTTCAGCCCCTACGCCGTAAGTGGGCGCCCTGCCTGGGCCAGAGCTCGCGGTGAGCCCGCGGGGTGCCGAGGTGGGCTGGGGTGATGCCTCTGCCTCGGGGGACGGGGCTTCGGACCTGCTTTGTGCATCCGCAGGAGAAATCCCCGGAGCAGCGAAGGCGCTTCCAGGCCATGGTGGAGGGTGCCAGGGCCGACAGGAGGCGGAGGCCGGGGAGCAGTGACAGGGCCCTCCTGACAAGGCTCCTGATGGGCAAGGGCGAGGCGGCCTGGGCCACTCGCACCCAGGAAGGTACGAGCCTGGCTTCCTCGTGCGCAAAATGTGGCGGCACCAAGATACCTCGTGACCTACGGGGGCTGTGGGACAAGCCGGCCGGGGCCTCCTCCAGGAACTGGTGGGAGAGGGCACTTACATGGGAGAGCGTGTGATGGGTTGTGCCTTAGGAAGGGGGCGGGCAGAGGGCTTCTTAGCTAGTGCCAGGGGCCTCAGGGGCCTGGCAAGAGATGCAGCAAGAGTTGGGCGAACAAACACTCCCTTTGGGGTGGCGTGGAAGACGGGGATCATGGAGGGGACCCCCTCTCGAGCCCGCCTTGCTCCTCTGTGCAGCCGAGGACCTGTGGCTGAGCCCGCTGACCATGGAAGACCTTGTCTGCTACAGCTTCCAGGTGGCCCGCGGCATGGAGTTCCTGGCCTCCCGCAAGGTGACTGCCCTGCAGGCCCTTCAGAGGGGAGGGGGCCGGGCCCCACCAGCACGCCCTGTGAGCAGCCCGGCTCACCCACCGCGACCCTGAGGTGCAGGCCTCTCCCACTGGGCAGAGGACAAAACTGAGCCCTGAGGTGGGACCAGCTTCCCAAGGTTCCCGCTGGTCAGTGGCAGAGCTGGATGTGGAGGCAGACTCTGCCCCACATCTTCACGAGCCCTCGCCATGGCCAGTCCCGGTTGCCCAGGATCTGTGGCCGTGGCCACGGCCAGTCCCGGGTGCCCAGGATCTGTGGCCGTGGCCACAGCCAGTCCCGGGTGCCCAGGATCTGTGGCCTTGGCCGGGGGCCAGTCCCAGGTGCCCAGGATCTGTGGCCGTGGCCATGGCCAGTCCCGGATGCACAGGATCTGTGGCCGTGGCCGGGGGCCAGTCCCGGGTGCCCAGGATCTGTGGCTGTGGCCACGGCCAGTCCCGGGTGCCCAGGGTCTGTGGCTGTGGCCAGCCCGGGCGCCTTTGCTGACCCTCCTCCTCGTGCCCCTAGTGCATCCACAGAGACCTGGCTGCGCGGAACATCCTGCTGTCGGAGAGCGACGTGGTGAAGATCTGCGACTTTGGCCTGGCCCGGGACATCTACAAGGACCCCGACTACGTGCGCAAGGGCAGCGTGAGTGCAGCCCGGGCCTCCTGCCAGGCGGGGGTGGAGGGGGGGGGGACACTGCTGTGCACGCGAAGGTCTGAGGGCTGCAGAGACCCAAGCGGCCGCCTAGGCGTACGGGCCAGGGAGTGGGGACGGGAGCTGAGGTCAGGGACCGCGTTGCTCTAGTCGGGCTTGGGCCACAGGTTGGACGCTGACCCTCTGCCTGCCTGGGGGCTGCTCATGCACAGGCGCACCCAGCCCAGGTCCGTCCTGGAGCTGGACAGCCAGCACAGGGCAGCCACAGGCCCGTGGGTGACGGGTGCGTGTGTCTGGTTGGTGGCACGCAGGTGGGCAGGCAGGCACCTGAAGGAGGGCCCACGGCTGATTAAAGGTTTGCTCCAGAGGAAGGAGAGGGCTGGAGGGAGGCAGGGCCAGCAGGGGTCCAGTCTGTGACAGGCCACTATGCAGAGGCTTCGTCTCTCACTCTGACTCACAGGCAGAATGTGGGGCACGTGGAGGTGAGAGGCAGGTGGGGGGTGAGGGGCAGCTGTGTGTGTGGAGGTGAGGGGCAGGTATGTGGGTGAGGTGAGGGGCAGGTGTGTGTGTGGAGGTGAGGGGCAGGTGTGTGGGTGGAGGTGAGGGGCAGGTGTGTGTGTGGAGGTGAGGGGCAGG